TAAACCAATCTAAGGATTACTTTTCCTGGAGCTGGGGATGTTGGAGGACTAACTGCCTAAACCACATACAGGACTGATGTTAGAGGGAAGGGTGGTTTTCCATAAAAAGCATGGGATACTGTTTGTTCCTAGAAGGGAAGAGAAATCGTGGTGTTCATTAAACCACAAGTTTCTTCTCTGTCCTCCATTATGAGATCTTGAGAAACTGTAAACCCATCATTTCCAGTCACCTCTTTCTCTCTGAAAGGAGGGAAGCGGGGAATTAGGGAATAAATAGCCCAAATAGATGGCACCAAGAAGGGAGTAGGGTATGGGGAAGGAAAGAGGGAAAGCATAATTTTAAGGCCATCTCAGCTGCTGTCCCTGGTCAGTCTCTCAGAAGTTTTAAAAAAATGAGGGAAGAAAGTATTCATAAACATATATATTTTGTTCCCTCCCCTGTTTTCCAGCCCTGAAGACTAGTAACTCGGTCTTATATAGGCTCTTTGCCTAAAAATATTTATTTGACCATTTTTATATACTTTAATTTGCCATGTGCTTGACCCTTTTATCAAAGACTAATGTTCTTTACATATTAGATAGATTAAACTCATTTATCTAGTAAAGTTGTAACCAGTTAATAAATTCTTTAAAACTTAACATTTTCTGTACTGACACTTATATTTTTTTAAAAAAGCAGTTATTTCTAACTTAAACACATCCAGTAAACATCTCCTTCATACATTTTTTATGAGATTTTTATTTATTTTATTATTTATTTTGAGAGAGGTAGAGAGATTGAGAGAAGGCATGAGAGGGGAGGTCAGAGGGAGAAGCAGACTCCCCGTAGAGCTGGGAGCCCGATGCGGGACTCAATCCCAGGACTCTGGGACCATGACCTGAGCTGAAGGCAGTTGCTCAACCAACTGAGCCACCCAGGCGCCCTCCTTCATACATTTTGCTTTCACCAACCTCTACTTCTTTTTTTTCCACCTGCCATTTTTCTTTTTTTTTTTTTTTTTTTTTTTTTTTATTTATTTCATTATTAGAGAGGACCTGTGGGGCAGAGGGGAGGGAGAGGGATAAGCAGAGTTGATGCTGAGGCTCCATAGCCCTACACAGGGCTCTATCTTACAACCCTAAGATCTCGACCTGAGCCCAAACCAGGAGTGGGATGCTTAACTGAATGAGCCACCCAGGTACCCCTCACCTGCCATTTTTCTATACCAGCTGTTCTCAGACTTCACCTTAGGATCACCTTCACAGAAATCAAGGCCCTCCTCCTCCAGAGTTTGTGATTCACTAGCTCTGGGGTTGAATTAGAGAATTGCAGGATACCAACTGATGCTGAAGCTGCTGGTCCAGGAAACATCGTTTCAAGGATCTCTGTAATCACCTGTCCCTGACTTTGCTCATTTCTATCACTCCTCCCTGAAGCCTTCTCTGGTCTATCCAAATTGATCCCTCAACTTCTTAAAATGGATATACCTATGGTAATTTCACTGGATCCTTAAATCTTTTATCTCCTAGATGTGGCCCTAATTAAGTTACAGGATTTTCCAAATAGATACAATGATCCATTTATTTTATTTGTGCAACAACTTGGACCCAGTGAATAGTCAGTAAATGTTGCTGGCAACATGTGTACTGTTAGAAAATTCTATTTCATATTTATCATATCTAAACTATAATTTTTATTTTTTTTTAAAGATTTTATTTATTTATTTGACAGAGAGAGATCACAAGTAGGCAGAGAGGCAGGCAGAGAGAGAGGAAGGGAAGCAGGCTCCCTGCTGAGCAGCGAGCCCGATGCGGGACTCGATCCCAGGACCCTGGGATCATGACCTGAGCCGAAGGCAGCGGCTTAACTCACTGAGCCACCCAGGCGCCCTAAACTATAATTTTTAGATGAAGTAATTTGGTGTTGTCAGAAGTTTAGTATTTGATCTCAAATGACTGTCATCGGATTAACGTGTAATGACGAATAAAGAGAAAATGGATACGGTAAATTGGTGGATTTGAGAATATTGGTATCAATAAGGTTTCTTTTAATACTTCTTCTGTAAGATAATTTCAATTAATCTGTAATGAGCATTAGCTTCAAAACCCAAATTTGTAAACTGTATACTATCACTGTGAATCAAACAATGAAAGCAAGGTTATTTGTATTAGCACTTTTTTTTTTTAAAGATTTTATTTATTTGACAGAAATACAGCGAGAGAGGGAACGCAAGCCATGGGAGAGGGAGAAGAAGAGGGAGAAGCAGGCTTCCTGCTTAGCAGGGAGACTGATGGGGGGCTCAATCCTAGGACCCTGGGATCATGACCTGAGCAGAAGGGAGACACTTAAGAACTGAGCCACCCAGGTGCCCTGTATTAGCACTTCTTATTGGACTTAACTCCTAGTAAGTTTCCATAAAAATCATATGGAAAATAAATAACCATTCAACTATCTTACCTTCTGTAGTTGTGAAATTAGAAGAAATACCTAAAATGCTTTAAATGTCAGTTGAGTACCTTCTAAAAAGTAAAACTATAAAAAGTGTTCAGGGGTATACTGATGTTATCTTTGAAATGCATCAAAAAAGAAAATGGATTGAGGAAAGAAAATGTAGTAAAGCACCTACAAAGCAAAATGACAAGAATTACAGAATTTTGGATATTGAGAATATGGGTAGTCACTGAACATGTTTTCAGCTTTTTTTGAAAGTTTGAAATTTTTCATAATAAAATTTTATGAAAAATAACCTTAATACTAACTAGAATTTATGGGGAATATAGCTTTACAAGTATTTGCATTAGATTGAAATATGAAACTGCCATTTACATAGGTCAAAAACAGACAAATACAGGCAATTTCATTTGGTTCAACCTAGTATTAAAGTTATTCTGAGTAGATATATTTTTACAGTTAATTTTTTTCCTGATGACTAAAATTATCTTTATTCAGTTCACCTTAATACTGATGTGTACTGTTAGATGTAATGTTAGATGTACTGTTAGATGTAATGCTAACCTAGATGTACTTAGCTACATATGCTCATTGTTGAAATGAAAAACTTAGAAGAACCTAGAAAGTATCTAGGTACTCTGCTTATATATTGTTTCCAAAACTATATATCTCATATTCCCGAGGTATACAAATACATTTACAAAATTACCTCATTTGTGGGTCACATATATACTAACACTTCAGTTAACTAAGTCTGTTTGCTCTCTACTTGCCAATTCAAGTTTTGTGGGTATCTTCATAGATTATATAGTCATATACCAGTCATACCATGGATGGTGATGATGGTTGCACAACAATATGAATGCACTTCATGCTACTGAACTACTCTTAAAAATGGTTAAAGTAGTAAATTTTAAGATTTAAAAGATGGAGAGGAGGAGGGGGCACTTGGATAACCATAGGATAGTATGAGAGCCCAGACAGCTTGGCTGAGTGGGTCAGAGTGCTAAAGAAACCTACCTACCTACCTACCTACCTACTGTCTTTACCTAAGTCATATGAAACCTGACTGAATTTGAAAGCTGAGTAAAATCACAATTTTGGATGTTGTTACTATGAATTCAGTTAAGCTTTTTTCCCTATTCTAATTGGAAAATCTTAGTTGGAACACACAATTAAAATTTATGTTGTTCTGCAAGGACTAGAGACTTCGAGTATCTGTAGTACCTGATTATATAGTCTTTCCCATTGAGCATAGTTAAGCTGGTTGTTCTGACAGAAGCCACTTATCTAATTAAATGAAAAATACACAGTAGGTAGCAGGCTTTAATTAGCTGTTTCCAGTTATACAAACTTTAATAGAGGGAAGAGTGAATGGTCTCACTGAGTTAAATTGGATTTGCCCTAGTGGAGATTAGTGTCATACCTTTTGTCATTTGGGAGAAAAAAATAAAGAATTGGAACCTAATCCCACAAGAACAATTTAGACTTCATGAGGTACTTCTTTTTTTTTTTTTTCTTTTAGGGTTTCCTGGGTGGCTCAGGACTTGATTTCATCTTAGGTCGTGATCTCAGGTTGTGGGATCAAGTCCCTTATCGGGCTCTGTGCTCAGTAGGGAGTCTGCTGGAGATTCTTTTTCTCTGGGAGGGGGAGGGAGAATGAGTGTGTGTACAGGTGGGAGGGAGGGTGGACAGAGGAAGAGGGAAAGAATCTTAAACTTCCCACTGAGCACTGAGCCAAATCAAGAGTTAGATGGTTAACCAACTGAACCATCCAGGCGTCCCCATGAAGTACTCTTAAAAGCAAAATGTGAAATGTTTTAAAATTAACCATCTCAATAGAATTTTAATATAAGCAGTTAGGATTTTTAATATAAGAGTTGAGACTTCTAGATTTCAAATATAATATAATTCCACAGAAAAGGAAAACCACTCATACCTATAATGGAAACATTCAGGCCCAAATGTACCATATCACTGTACTAAAACAGTTGATCCTGATGTCTTCATTCCTTCCCTTTGTGCTCTTTTCAAAAACTTAATAATCTTTCTCTCTTCTCATAATCACATTTTACCAGAAAGAGAAATGTTTTTTTACTCAGTTGAAAATGGAATGAGACCATAGTGAAATTATTTGTGTAATACTTTAGTTTTCCACATTGAAGAGGTTACGAGGTTAATGCATTGAAATGGGGAAAATTCTGAATTTCACATATTCCTGTGCTTACCACTCCTCAAAGAATGATAAGGTCTTATAAAACAAAAGCAGCTTGAGGGTTGTCATTTTGGGCTCTGATTCATAAGAGAGTGAAGAATTATTAGAAAGATGGAGGAAATTACATAAAAGCAAAATTCAGAAAACAATAGATTCTGCAGAAGAATACCAGAAAAAGCAGAAAAAAGAAGAAACTGCTCTATTGGAAATGTATTGATTATTTTGCCTCCTTGGTATTTAAATGTAGAGTTTCTATAATATAAAATAGTAGGCTCATCCCATTAAGTTAGAGCTACAGTGGAAAGAAGACTGGGGTCTTAAAAGTAACATCATTATTTCTCTTTTAATTTACAGAAGTTGCTGGGTGTGTTTTGCCACTGATGAAGACGATAGAACAGCTGAATGGGTGAGACCATGCAGGTGCAGAGGATCTACAAAATGGGTTCACCAGGCTTGTCTGCAGCGCTGGGTAGATGAAAAACAAAGAGGAAACAGTACAGCCAGAGTGGCATGTCCTCAGTGCAATGCTGAATACTTAATAGTTTTTCCAAAGTTGGGTAAGCACCTTAAAAACAACAGATATATGTGATGTTATTTTACCTAACTCTATGATCTCAGGTTTATTTTAAAGTGACCCATCTGTTTGCTTCTTTGTAAATTTCTCTTTTTCTGTTTCCTAATTGTTATTTTGTTAACAGTTTACATTATCTTTAATATATCCTCAAATCCACCCATTTGTGTGTTAAATGTTTTTATTTTGGTTGAGTGGCTAAGAAACTTGGACATCTGATTCAGTGGATAAAATAAAAAAACAAAGCTATAATAAAAAAGCTGACCAAAAGAGCCTTATTCTGTGATGACCATTGATGTAGGAGAAAGAAAACAACAATGTGTTCTTCTGATATTTATCCTTAATTCTTCTATTAAGGAATAAAAGTAGGAAAGTTAAAGACTTAATAGTGTTAATCTCATCTTTGGAATCCAATTATGTGGTTGTCCTTCATGAAAACTGCTTTCTTCTTTCGGCAACTTGGCAGGCAAGGAATAACCAAAGATCTTTTAGAATGGGGCTAACATTAAAAAAAAGTAGAGCACACTGTTTAAAGGAAGCTGTAACTTCAGTTCCAGTAAGACTGATATTTAGTTACCGTGTTCTATTACAGTCATGTGATTATGAACTGGTATCTGTTTGGTGTTTATGCCATACCAGTTGTTAAACATGTTTAATGCCACCCTTGACTGTAATCAAGAGATCTTTGAAAGCACTTTAGTTTCTGGGAAGGTCAAAGAATGACTTTGATGGGGAAGAGAGTTCAAGGAGAAATTTGAAATAATTATTAGATGTGTGTTTTCTAGGTGCTATACTGAAATGAGCCCTCTTTTAAAAAAAAAAAAAGCAACATAAATGCAGATAATGAGGTGCTTTTCTAATGTGAGACAGTTAATAATAAGGGCAAACAAAATTTCCTTGGTTGTCCGTATTTCTCTAGCATAATTCATAAGGAATATGAAGGAAGAAATTATAGCTTCTTAGGAAAGTAGAGAAAGTAATATTTCTCAAATATTTAGAATTTGTGGACCACATGATGGGTCTTCATGTACACCATGGATTTTAGATAAAGACAAAGTAATCCAAAAGTTGACCCTTGAACAACACAGTGGTTAGGGACACTGATGATCTCCCCCCCCCACACACACACAGTTAAAATTTCACCTACAGCGGGATGCCTGGATGGCTCAGTTAAGCATCTGACTCTTGATTTCCACTCAAGTCATCCTCTCAGGGTTGTGAAATTGAGCCCTTTGTCTGCTTCATGCTGAGCAGGGAGCCTTTTTGAGATTTCCTCCACCTTCTGCCCCTCCCCACTTGTGTGGGCTCACTGTCTCTTAAAAAATAAAAATATTAAAAATTCACCTATAGTTTTTGACCCCCCTAAAACTTATCTACTGATAGCCTTACCACTAATGTAAGTGTTGATTCACACATAGTTTATATATTATATTATGATATACTGTATTCTTACAATAAAGTAAGCTAGAAAAATGAAAATGTTAAAATCATAAGAGAGGGGCACCTGGGTGGCTCAGTCAGTTAAGTGTCTGCCTTTGGCTCAAGTCATGATCTCAGGGTCCTGGGATTGAGCCCCACATCAGGCTTCCTGTTTGGCAGGGATTCTGCTTCTTCCTCTCCCTCTGTCCCCTGCTCTTGCTCATGCTCTCTCTCCCTCTCAAGTATAATAAAATCTTTTTTAAAAATCATAAGAGAAAATACATTTATAGCTCTGTACTGATGTTTTTTTTTAAGATTTTATTTATTCATTTATTTGTCAGAGAGCGAGCGAGCGAGCGCACGAGCAGGCAGAGTGGCAGGCAGAGGCTAAGAGAGAAGCAGGCTCCCTGCCAAGCAAGGAGCCATCATGATGTGGGACTCGATCCCAGCACCCTGGGATCATGACCTGAGCCGAAAGCAGCGGCTTAACCGACTGAGCCACCCAGGCATCCCAATAGTACTATACTGATTTTATTTTTTTTAAAATCACATATAAGTAGAGCCACACAGATCAAACCATGTTTTTGAAGAGTCAACTATAACATTAAAGCAGTATTCTAAAATAATTTAAACATGAGGAAAAGCAATTACTGCTGCATTCTTTCACCACACTGATACCTAGCTCATTAAAGTCAAAGGTTTCCTATTTAACTGCTTCTTTTCCTACCCTTTAATTCTACTGATGATTCAACTTTTCAGCTGTAGGTTTTTGAGAATAGCAGCAAGTACAAGATGATGAGACGTTTTATATGTTTAAATGGATGCATACAAAAATTATGCAAGAATTCTCACTGAAAATTACATACATTTTTAGGTGAGGCACTGAGTTGACAAATGAATTGCACTCAACAGTGAGGCTGAATATTTCATTTTGGAAGATGGCAGTGGGTAAATCTGTCCTTTTGGTTTTCAGTTCTAGGAAATAAATTTTTAGGTTTAGTGTGGTAATATGATTTTTAGATATACCTAATACTAAGACATTGGGGTTTTGTTTTTGTTTTTAGCAAGGGAAGAAAATGGGTTGGTGTTGAAAAGGTCAGACTATTTGGTTAAGCCATTTATATCATGATTTGGTCTTTATATTTTATCTTTTTTTTTTTTTTAAGATTTTATTTATTTTAGAGAATGTGCATGTGCTTGTGAGCAGGGAGGAGGGACAGAAGGAGGAGGGAGAGAATCTTGGGCAGACTCCACACCCATCATGGAGCCCGACACAGGGCTCTGTCTTACAAACCTGAGATCATGACCTGAGCCGAAATGAAGATTCAGAGGCTTAACCGACTGAGCCTCCTAGGCATCCCTTCCAGGCAGTTTTTAGCACTGACTCGAGAACACAAAACTTATTGTCAAATGCCAGCTGTTGTCTGTAGATGAAGCCATGTGTGAATTAGCTTTCAGGTACTAAACTCTTTCTTGCAACACAAATGGCTAGTGCTCTTGGCCCTGATCCCAGTATACCTTTTCAAATCAAGTTCAAAAATAATTGTTGGTTAAAAGGAAATCCCTTCTCTATAGCATGTTTTCACTGATGATCAGTTAAAAGTTGCATGTATTTCTTGATTTACATATTATGTAAATGCCAAGAGTCGATTCATACTCTGAACACTAGTGGTTTCTTTCAGCCATAAAACAAAAATATTTAAGTACATCTGTGATAGTAATTGTTCTTCCTTGCTGTGTACCAGACATATGATGTACTGCGATGTCATTTGATGATAGAATTTTGCCAGCAGATTGTTCTCTTTTAGCATATTCATGATTAATTTTGCACTGGCCATTTATACCTGTTTTTTAAAAATAAGTTGAAGCTCCTTTGACTCAGTTTTTAATCTTTGTTTTCAGACAGAATTCATAATGCAGGCTTTGATTGCAGGCTGGAGTGGTTGAAAATTATGTGAATGCTTCAGTGGCTTCTTGTCCCTGTTTTATAACATTTCAGTCCCTGTTTAATAATGTGTTACAGTACAGTAGGAACAAGGAGGTGCAAACGAATCCTAATTTACTGGTCACAGCACATTTCTAGATCACACTATTTTCACTCTGATACACCATTTATCATTTATGACATTCTGAGTTAAAAGTGTTCCTAGAACTGTCAGTCTTCAATGAACATTTGAGGCATTGATTATCTTTCTTAAATTTAGGATTTAACACATGATGGTAATTAACAAAATATGTGTTTAACCAATGTAAACAACTCACATGATGTGAAGGTTTATTGGCTGAAACAGAGTCCCCTGTTAACTATTCTTGTAGAGTATGTGTGACCCTGGAAACATAACAATTAACTTAAAAGGATTTTCTGGAAATTCATTATTTTACTTTTCAAATTTGGGAAATGTTTGTGATCAAAATTTTTATTACGTTTTCATCAAATTGTTTGTAGAGCATTTACTAGATTGCCAGGGACTACCTTTGGTCTCCAGACAGCACATGAGAGACACTGGCTAGACAAAGGAATACAAGATAAGAGAATATCCAGAGAGGAAGAGGTGATGGTTAACATTCAGTGGGATGATCTCTGTGTAGCAAGTATTTTAAGTTTTACATGGATTTAAACTCAGTCTGGTTTAGTAGCTGCCAAATCTGCATCTTTTCTAGTACTTAATGGGGTCAGAATGGAGAGGTTGTGTGTGTTAATTATTGATAGGGAATATATTGTGCTCAGTTATGAAAAACTTAGTGGACTCTTCAGATTTTCATTCTTCTCACTTTGTCACCCATCTTAGGGTTTGTTCTTTCTGCTAGTGAGTTAGGCCAGTTGCATGTATGCAACTAATTAAAAAACTCAGTGTCCTCTGAGGACCAGCAGCATTGGAATCATCTGAGAACTGTTAGGAATGAAAAACTTTAACCCCTTCTCCCATCCCCTGTTTGAATCAAAATCTGTATTTTTGTGAGATCATCAGATAAGTTATATACATGTTAAATTTAAGAAGCATTGCTTTAAAACATGAAGAGAATACCATCTGGAAAACATTTGTCTTTTATTAAAAATAAAGCATTTTCATGAAGTTTAAGGTCAGGTAGTAGTCTTGGTTAACCAAATGGAAGAATTCAAAGGAGAATATCTCAAGGACAGAGTTCTTGATTCCCAAGAGTAGCAGGGAATGATTCCCATTAGCTTCTATTTCTTTAATTTCTTTTAGCGATATTTTGTAGTTTTCAATGTGTAGGTCTTTTGCTTTGTTAAATTTATTCCTAAGTATTTCCATTTTTTTCTACTTTTTGTAAATGGATTTTTTTCATAATTTTTAGATTGCTTATTGTGAGTATATAGTACACAATTGAATTTTTGTATTTTAATCTCATGTCCTGAAACTATGCTGAACTCTTTTAATGGTTCTGATAGTTTTAAAGGATTTTCTATATACAGGATCATGTTATCTGTCAATGTAGTTTTACTTCCTCTTTCCTGGTCTTGATGCTTTTATTTCATTCTCTTGCCTAATTGCTCTGGCTGTAACCACCAGTACATCAATGGAAGTGGTTAGGATAGACATCCTT